AACACACATACATAGAATAAAAAGAGAAATAAAATAAAAAAGCCAGAAAGAAAACAGATGTCTTTCTATAATAGTTTCCATCCAGTTAGTATTGTTTTGACCGTAAGGTCCCGTAGAAGAGAAATGGAATAAAACTGTCTACATTTCACCCCAGACCATTTCCTGCATACATTAACCTAGACTTGTATAAGAAACAAATCACCTGGAAGGTTATGGGGAAGTCCCTGTGGACTAGTTCAGTAATAAGAAGTCAGAGAAAGGAATCTGGCTGATTTGTTCATTAAAATGGTGCCATATGCATCTGCTAAAAAGTGTTTCCAGCTCCAGAGACGTGTTCCCCTTCCCTGGGGCCTTCTCAGACCCTGGCCCAGACTCATGCCCCTTTCTCCACTAGTCAATTCGCAGTGGCATCATGCTGCAAGTGCCCATTAAACATGTAGAGAACAGAGGTGTACCTTCACATGCTAAGGGTTCCCATTTCTCCCACAAATGAAGAAAACTGAATTACCCACAAGACTTCCCTCACTTAAAAAATATTTTAAAATCCTATTGCAGCTCCCCCTCCTTGAGAAGTCATTGCCTTTCCTAGTTTTTTTTTTTTTTTTTTTTTTTTCCTTTTACTGGAATCAATTGATTCAAGGTTCAAGTCCTGGGTATTATTTATTTGGATGACTGATCTCTTTTCATTCATGTTTATTTAATTTTATTGATTTCAGAGAGAAGAAAGGAGAGGGAGAGCGAGATAGAAACATCAATGATGAGAGAGAGAGAGAGAGAGAGACTCATTGTTTATCTGCCTCCTGTACGCCCCCTACTGGGGGTCAAGCCAAAAATCTGGACATGTGCCCTGACTGGGAATTGAACTATGATCTCCTGGTTCATCAGTTGATGTTCAATCGTTCAGCCACATCGGCCAGGCCTCATTCATGTTTTTACTTACAGTATCAATCTTTAATTACTATCATTATATTTAAAATCAAATTATCTTTCTGTTTATAAAAGTGATATAAAGTTACACAAAATATTTATGTTATACTTTTTATGACTATAAAAACATCCTAAGTAAGTACAATGAAGTTTTGTTTTTCCATTAATGCATGGTTCAAAAACTGTTGGATGAATTTTCACCAAATGTAGAAGGGATGTTTGGGATGGTCTGATTTAGAAAAGCGGCTACATGGGATTCAGACTGGGCATTCTGGGCAGTGATCCTCCTGGGCAGCTGGCCGTAAGGTACAGGGAGAGGCCTGTGTGCTGTTAATGGAGGTAGATTTGCCCAACACTTTAGGAAGCTGAGAAATAGCTTTAGACATGAACCCACATTCAAAGTCTTGAGAATCAATGTTCTGAACTGCAGGCTCAACCTTTCACAGATGCTACATATCATCAGTGGTAACAGGGACTGCTCTCTTTGGAGAGAGACTTCGAGTTTTCCTGAACTGAGTCGGTGGGGCAGCCAGAAAATAGTAGGAATAACAGTTACATCAACAATAGCAACAACAATATAATAAAGCAATTGCGAATGTTTGCTCTCTGTAGGGGTGGTAGTAGGTATGTGACATGCATTGCATCATTTAATCCCCACAGCAATCTCTGAACCAAGTGATACTGTTATCTCTTTTTCAGGGATGAGGAAATGGAAATTTCCAGAAGTTAAACAACTTGTTCCAGGTCCAGAAAATTGGTAAGTGGCAGAGCAGCATTCAAATTCCAAGTCCCTATCCCCAACCACCAGGCTTATTTCTACAACAGACTTGCATGCTGTGTGTCACATGTGGTAAGCACTGCTTTCTTAGAACTGACTACCAGGTCACCAAAACACCACTCCCATGGCTGAAGCCAGTTAGCCTTGGTGGCCAGGCTCTTCAGTTTGATACACCACATCCCCAGCCTCTTATTTTCTGACACTCGCCTCCAGCCAATGGGGCTAAGGCCACGTGACTCCCCGGCTCTTTGTCTGGTGTTCTCACTTCCACCTCTCCACCTGCTGCCACGCTGCTTCCCACGCAAAGGGCTGCTCCTTCTCTGCTGCCAAGTCCTCTCCCTCCTTGCTCAGAGGCGGGCAGCACCCTGTGTTCCCTCCTGCCCAGGCTCTGCTCAGTGGGAATGATACTGTTTAATTAGCTAGTTACTAATAATAGGAAATGAGCAGAGGGGAGCCAGACATTATAGGCATGTCAGTCATTTGGGCAGCTTCACCAGGAAGTGACAATTTCACACTCCCCAGAGAACCACCGGCCCATTCCCCATAGATGACTGGGAAAGGGACCAGACAAAGGCGAAAATGGATGCATAGACAGTAAAGTTGGGGTGACATAGGGAAGGTGCCTGGCCGTCAAAGTTGGGAGCGGAGATCATTGACCAGAGTAGGCAGGGCCACTGCAAACCTGCAACAAGTTGAGAATACATAATCCCCTAAACCCATGGTCGGCAAACTGCGGCTCGCGAGCCACATGCGGCTCTTTGGCCTCTTGAGTGTGGCTCTTCCACAAAATACCATGGCCTGGGCCAGTCTATTTTGAAGAAGTAGCATTGGAAGAAAGTTAAGTTTTAAAAATGTGGCTCTTGAAAGAAATTTCCATCGTACTGTTAATATTTGGCTCTGTTGACTAATGAGTTTGCCGACCCCTGCCCTAGACCAGTGGTTCTCAACCTTCTTAATGCCGTGACCCTTTAATACAGCTCCTCATGTTGTGGTGACCCCCAACCATAAAATTATTTTCGTTGCTACTTCATAACTGTAATTTTGCTATGGTTATGAATCGTAATGTAAATATCTGTTTTCCAATGGTCTTAGGAGACCCTGCTAGTGGTTCTCAACCTGTGGGCCTAGACAAGGAGCTAGTGCTCTTGTGTGACACTTGGAGCTCTCTCTTGGCTCTCTGGTTCCTTTGGCTTTGCTCCTGCCCATGTTCCCTCCATAGCTGCATGGTCCAGGGTCCTGGGGACCCACGCACGATGGACTGATAGACTGCACCTGTGAATACCAGTTAAGCTAGCCTGATGCTATATTGGACTGTGCAGACATGGAATGGGAACTCTGGGCCCTGGCTTTGATCTTAGTCCCGCTGAAGGCAAAATGGGACTTCTTCCTTGGTGGGACAAAGGGGAATAGGAACTTGGAAACTCGGGTATGTAATTCCAGAGATATAAAGCTTTTTACAATATCTCATCCTCCCCTGTGAGTCTCAGAAAATGCTTTCCTTGGATATCCCAAGAAGCCCACTCCCACTAGTAACCCACGGAGACAGGGAGATCTCCCCACAGAGAACAGAAGCACAGGAGTTTCTTACCTCTAAAAATCTTCTATGCACCTGTCTCTAAGTCTGATGCTTCACTTAAGGCTGCTCCGGCCATGTATGCTTAATGAAAGTACTTATTACTAGTCCCTGGTACATAGCTTCAGACATGGGCTGCAGAGTTGGGTGCAGAGTTAACAAACATTCTTGTTCATGGCCAATGTTATTCTACTATACTCCAGAGTTGCTTTAGGTACTGGAAATACAGTAGTTAACAAAAGTTTATAGCAGTCCCTCCCTCACGGAATATCCCTTTTCCCTTTCTGGGTTAGGGTGTAAACTCCCATAGAATAGTTCTGGAGAAGTACTTCTTGGAATTATTCTACTTATAGTCTGTGTGACTGATTAAGTTAGTTAACCTCTCTGTGTCTCAGTTTCCTATAAATTGGAAACATTAATTGCATTTCTCTCAATGATGTTATTAGAATTAAATAAGTTAAAATAGTTAATAATCTACAGTACTTAGGATAGTAGCTGTGATATTGTGACTTATAATAAATATATATATTTGGTCTTCCTCCTAAAACCCTTGGAATTTCTTAAGTGATGAGAGCGATAGAGGCTTCTTTTGTTATGTTAATGAGGAACTTTTGAAACCGCCTAAGAATGGAGGCTGGTTGCCAGGGGAACTAACCATGAGATTACAAAATTGTAACTTTTAGTCCCAACCCTGACCTCCTGGAAGAAGAGAGAGGCTGGGGATTGATTTCTATAACCGATCATCAATGATTTAATTAATCAGGCCTGTACTGTAGCCTCCATAAAAGCCCAAAAGAACCGGGCTCTGAGAGCTTCCTGGTTGGTGGACACGTGGAGACCTGGGAAGATCAGCATACTTGCAGAGAGATAGAAGCTCCACACCCTTTCCCCATACTTTGTCCTCTGCATCTTGTCCATCTGGCTAATCCTAAGATACATTCTCTTATAATAAACCGGTGATCTAGTAAGTGAAAGTTTTCTCTGAGTTCTGTGAGACACTCTAGCAAATTAAGCCCATGAAGGGGGTTGTTGGAACCTTCAATCCAGTTGGTCAGAAGCACAGGTGACAACCCTTATATTGCCATTGGCATCTGAAGTGTGTGTGTGTGTGTGTGTGTGTGTGTGTGTGTGTGTGTGTGTGTGGTGGTGGTGGTGGTGACAGCAATCTTTGGGATGTAGCCCATGACTTGTGGGATCTGATATTATATCAGGGGTAGTATCAGAATTGCTAGGTGGTATGGACATCACTTCCTAGTTGGGTGCTGAATCATAGTGACACACTTTAATGTATGTTAACTATTACTGTTACTTTCTTTAGATAATTAAATATCTAAGTGGCAGAGATCTTCTTTTGGTAGTATTCTCCACTAGGCTGTAAACATTGTAAAGGCAAAGGCCAAGACTTCAGTTCTTTTGTGTTTGCCCCACCTGGTTTAGTGCTTCCACAGCTCAGGCAACGGGAACTGCTCTTGACTGATAGGGCCAGCAGATGACACGTCTGCTTTGAGGTCAGGATAAATCTGGGCTATCTTTGGGCAAAACTGTGTTCACCGGAGGGATTCCATTCTCATTATCACATTTTTTTTTGAGGAAAGACAAATGTATACTAAATGCTTCCTGTTGTTTGTGTAGAAGAATTTGCTTTAATTTCTCTTGAAGTAAATCCCAAGGTTCTCATGATAGAAAACATCCTCTGCCTCAAAAGGAAATGACATGACTCACCTTGATTTTTCAATGGTAAAGGCATAGTTTCCCTGAGTTTGCTTAAAAGGTTTTTCATTTCTCGCATGTCTCTGTAAAAGTGATAGAAAGAAAAAAATCGTCAGCTGTAAATTTTGGAAATGCAATCTCAGTCTGTTCTGTGATTCAACGGAAGGACAAGAGTCTGTGGTTAATTGTATTAGCTCTAGTTGCAACAGGCAAATATTCAATCTATTTTGCTTTTCTAAGAAGGAAAAAAAAAAAAACAAACCATAAGGTGGGTAACTCTGGGAGGAAAGAGAACTAGTCTGGCCAAGATTTCCCTGGGACATTCTGCTGCAGGAGCCCTCAACTCTGCCAAAGTTGGACTTGGCTGAGATCAGGGGAGAGGACAGTACTTCAGATTTCCAGGGGGAAGCAGAAGACACACAACTAGAATAATGGGGTTACCCTGGGTAAAGCTGAGGCTGGGTGCTGGTCTGATGGCTGTTGTGATTGCGTAGGTTCACTGCCTGTTGTCTCTACCAGGATTGGAATTGGGTGTAACGCAGTTATTAAACATCCACAGGGCCAATACTTATTAAACTGACTTGGAATGATGGGAGAGTATGACAAATTCTAACAGTGTCAGAGAAGAGCTCTTCACAATGGATGAAACAGAGAGAGGGAGAGAGAGGGGGAGAGAGAGAGAAAGAGAAATGGCAGGGGGTGGTGCAGGTGGTGGTAGACACTAGCCTATATATCTGACCTTCCAAACCTCCACCATCCTCCCTCATCCCAGACTACGTATGGCCATGAGACCACAGAGTCGGAGAGTCAGAAGCCATTTTCCTAGTAAGAGGAGGTAAGATGGACTTTTCAAATCTTTGGGATAGTGGATCCCCATATGTTCAGCAATGGCTATCCACTGGAGTCAGCACTCTCGAAATCCCAAGACACAGTGGTGGATTTCATTTGAAAGAGCAAATATCAGATAACATCTTTTTGTTAGGCAAGCAATAGCTGGCACCCAGGATTTAAGGGGGAAAAAAAGAGTTTTCTTTTTTTGGGGGGGGGGGGGGAGAGAAGGAAAATTTTAAAATTAAGGATATAATATCAATTCATTGATTTTTTTCCTGTCATTTGAGAAAATAGAGCCATATTTTAATTTTAGGTTTGAAATCTCTAAGTCCATTTCATGAAACACAACTGTTCTGTTGAGTATGGTTTAAGAACCACTTGCCTTCGGGCGACCCCGTAGGTACTGACTGGTATCTGAAAAGGAACTCAGAAGGAGCTAATTGGAAAAGGAGCAGAAAGCAACCTGGGGATCTATAGAAATACACCAGTATAAACCCTCAGAACACCTTCCCACAGGTAAAAGGATTGTCTGTGCGGTACTGCCTATTGCTAAGCCCTAAAGGGTATTTCTAGAAGGAGAAGTTGGGGGAGGAAACAGGAGGACAGGGCCCTGCATCCAGAAATACAAGGGCACCCTATGTTTTCCTGTGCAATTCCCAAGGGTAGGTGGGGTGGGTGCTGGGCAGGCACAAAGTGGGAGAGGGCTAGTAATGCAGTGTGTGAGGCAAGGTCTCCTTGGAGAGCACCAGTCTCAGCCTTGGACGCTTCATGAATCACCTTATGTGGAGCCCTACTCCCTGAGAGCCTGACTTGCTTGGTTTATGGTGGGGTCCAATCACCAAGGATTTTTAAAAATCCTTCTAGTGATTGTGATGTGCAGCCCAGTGTGAGATCTTAGGGCTGGAAAAACAGAGGAACTGTGGAAGCCACCCTCCCAGACAGGTCTCTATTCCTACTTCTCTCAGCCATTCCTATCTCCTTCAACCTGAATCCAGGCTGTAGGACAGAACTGAAACACGGCCAGCTCCTTGGACTCTACGCCCTATTTTTATTGCTAGACATAGCTTGCTTTTGTAAGCACACAGGGCTTGGATGTGGCTTTTCTGCAAAGCTTCAAAAAAGGAAAAAGGCTTTGCTGATGGCTTATGCCCTGACCACAGCCCTCTGGCAGATATTTCTTCCTGGGAATAGAGCAAAACATTTTCCATTTTATAAATTAAGATAAATCACTCCCTCATCATTTGTCTATAGTTCTAGCAAACTGTGCCAAACAGCTTTATTGTTTGAATTGTTGGATTTCCAAGCATATACAAAATCCAAGTTTTATTAATAGTACATAATTACCACATGCTTCAATTTTCTATAAACACAGAAATTCGGCAATTAGCTTTAGAGTTATATCATGATCTGAAAGTAGAACCACAATGGCTATAAAAGCTCTCATGTGTGACATTTCTAAAAATTTAAAGAGAAAATGTTTCTCATCTTGTCAATGACTCCTCCCCACTCCCCTCCCCTCATTCTCTTCCACGCCTCCATCCCACACAGCCCACAGCCCACAGCCCACACCCCTCACAGAGCATTGGTGGAATTGCCCAGCATTCATTCAGCTGCTTGTGCAGGCGCTGGGGCCATCAGTGTGAAGGACAATAAACAAGCACGTTGTCCTTCTGCCTCACAGGATAGTATTTTTAGCATTTAGATGAGACATGGCACTTACCATCGCACCCTTTCCTCAGGGGAAACAGAATCCCTGTACAATCAATCTATTCTTCCCAAGAAAGAAACTCCCTCTCCAGCAGGGAGCAACTGCTCCCTAAGACAGATGCATTAACTCGCTCTGACCACTAAGGGGCCATCAGCTATAATACATTCTGGGAAAATAATAAGAGAAGGGAGCCCAGCAAAAAGCTGTTTGTGAGCTAGATGGCATGCTCAGCCCCTGCGTGGCAGCCAAGCAGGCCATTCCATGCATCTGAAATCCGACAACCTCCCGGAGGCATCTTGGCACAATTTGGGGACCCAGCCCACCAGCTAAGCTGTGACAGTACGGAGATCCAACTTTCTCCCTTGCCAAGAATGCACACTGTTTTATTTCCATGGAGATGTATGTGGTAGAGCGGGATGAGCAAGCCTGCCTCCACAGGAGGTTCAGCTGCGGTTCCATTGCAGTTTGGACCCCTTACCTTCTCTCAGTTCAGTTTCCTGAGCGCTCCCTTTCTGACTCTGAAACACAAAATCCTGACTCCCTGTAGCCCAGAAGAGTGAAGGAGGATTGGCAGTCTATTTAGGGTAACTTCCCACTTACCTTTCAGTGTTCTCAATGTCTGTGGAAACCTGCCAGGAATGCTGCTGTGTATCGATGGCGGGTGAAACAGAGTCCTCTAGAGCAGGTGGCTCAGTGCTCTCTTCAATTCTGCAATCCAAACTCTTGGTTCCCCCGCCAGGCTCCTTTCCTAAGGGGCAGGGAAGTGGGGCCAGGGGTAGGGGTGTTGATAAGGAGGAGATAGACAAGCAATCATCAATGCAGCTGTATGCCCAAGATGTCATCACAAAAGTTGGCTCTGCTTTGGACCAAATGCTCCATTAACACTTATTTCTGAATACTAAAATAATTGATATATAAAAATAAATGTGTGTGTGTACGTGTGCGTGCGTGCGTGCGTGTGTGTGTGTGTGTGTGTGTGTGTGTATAGCATGTTTGCACAATACTCTGGGAAGATAGCTTGAGGTTGATGCAATTTGAAGATCAAGATAAAAGTAAAGGTCCTGTCTTTGATGGGATATTGGTGCTCTGTAACCCATTCTTATGGAGTGTGATCAGGAGAAGGAGATAAACAATTAAGTGGTGATGAACTATATACCATTCATCAGCTTGGAGAAGAAATGAGCCTCTGAATATTCAGCCAAAGCACAAACACAAATTCACTGATGAGAACTTTTGATCTTTTGGCGTGGACTTTATGCACATTGATCCATGGTAATGGAATTGCTTTTCCAATTTTATGGCATGCTGTTGGGTGTGAGTTAATTAAGCACATAATTTAGCATATTACCACTTCACGGTAGGAGGGCACTGACCTCTTAAAAGCTTTTGCAGAGTGCTTCCTGGGAGAGTGCAGCAAATGCAGTCCATTTGCTCCCCCTCTGGGCAGGTCAGCATAGGACGCTAGTCTGTGCAGTTGAAATGCCTTGGGAATAGAGTATGGTTTGGGCAGCAAAGAGGATACACACAGATGGAATTCCTTGCTCTGTGGGCTCTGCCTGACTTAGGGGCCACAGTGGCCCCTGTCCTGCCATCAGGACTATAGTGCCCAAAGGGTTTCCTTCTTATTTCAAAATGAATTCACCTCCTTATTTCAAAATGAAATATATCGGTATATTATATTATTAGTTTCAGGCATATTAGCTTTAGGGAACAGGTAGTTTTTTTTTTTCTTTTTTCTTTGTTTTTTTTTAGTGGAAAAAATGGGGAGAGGCACAGAGAAACATTGATGTAAGAGAGACACAATAATTGGTTGCCTCCCACCAGTGCCCTGACTTGGGCCAGAATGAGCCTGCAACCTAGGTATGTGCCCTTGACCGGAATCAATCTGCAGGCTGCTGTTCTATTCACTGAGCTGAACCGGCTAGGGCAAATTCCTCCCATTGTTTACTTTGAAAATTAGCAAATCTTCAACAAACTTACAAGAATGATACAGTGGACACCCAGATATTCCAGTTTCACCAAATGTTAATAATTAGCCATATTTTCTTTTATATTTCATTCTCTCTGTCTCTGTTTCTCTCATTTATATGGATATATTTTGTACATACATTTCCTATTTATTATATTGATCATATATATTTTTTCTATATAAACAATTTAGAAGTAAGTTGCAGACATTAATGACACTTTATCCTTATTACTTCAGCATATATTTCCTAAGGAATAAGGATGTTTTTCTATTTAACCTCTAAATAATTATTGTATCCCCCAAAATCTTTGGTTAAATATGAGTCAATGCAATTTGGTACAGTGCCATTATTTAATAGTATATATTTAAATTTCCACAATTGTTCCAATAATATCCTTTATAGTTTGTTTTTTAATTTTTAAAAAATATTTTTATTTATTTTTTACAGAGAAAAAGGGAGAGTTAGAAACATTGATGAGGGAGAAACATCAATCAGCTGCCTCCTACACACCCCTCATTGGGGATGTGCCCACAACCAAGGTACATGCCCTTGACTGGAATCAAACTTGGGACCCTTGAGTCTGCAGGCTGATGCTCTCTCCACTGAGCCAAACTGGTCAGAGATATATAGTTCATTTTTGTTTTTTTTGTTGTTGTTTTTAATCAAGGGATCCAATTAAGGATTATGAATTGCATTTAGTTGTTCTGTTTCTTTATTTTCCTTTTATTTAGAACAGCACCATTGTCTTTTTTTGGTCTTTTATGTTATTGATATTTTTGAAGGAAGAGTCCAGGCCAGTTGTTTTATAGAATGTCTTTCCTATTAGATTTGTCTGATTTTTTTCACATACCTAGATTACGAGAAAACCTTTTGGCAAGAATATTATAGAAGTGATATTTTAACCTTCTTACATTGTCATGTGTCAGAAAGTACATAAATCAGTTTGTTCTATTATTAATGATATTAGTTAAGTGTTATTGATTGCTTGGTTAAGGTGGTTTCTGCCAGCTTTTACCATTGTAGATGCAACCTTTTCTCTTTGTAATGAAATGATCTATGGAGAAATTTGTTGATAGTTATGGCCTTTTCAATTTATATCTTTGTTTAGGCTTTAGAAAATTTTCTCTATTTTTCTGGTTACCTACTTCTTTCTATTCTCTCTGCTCTTTCAGAATTCCATCTATTTTTCTTAATTATCCCCCATATTCCATATTTATTTTTGAGGTAAATTCTGGGATAATACCCTGACTTGATCTTTCAGTTCATTATTTTAGGCTCTCAGAATGTTCATTATAATAATTAAGAACTGTGAAGGTTTGAGATTTTCCTCTATCTATTAGTCTGCTAGAGTTTAATAGGTACTGGAAGAAGACACAAGACTCCTGGGTCGGAGACAGACAGCTTATTACTCACACAATGGCAGTAGCCAGAATGTCATCATTGGTTTCTTGAGTCCTAATTCCCACAGGGAGATACAAAAAGGGCCAGATCTTATCCGTACATCCAGGAGGCTGTGTGACAGGACAGAAATGCTGAGCTTAGGGATTTTGATTCTTTCTATAAGCATGTCTGCCTTTTGCTCCAGAGGGAAACATTTTCATTATACTGAATAGTAAGCATGCTTTGCTCTGGAGGGAGACACTGTCTCTATTTCCCAAAGTATTTACCAAATAAACATCCTGGAAAAGATAGTAAAACAAGGGCAGTCAGTGCCTCACTTTGCAAGATGTACAGAAATGCCAGAGATGAAAGGAGAATTGCCTTCCAACAGTAATTAATCCAGCTATTGCATATTTATTTATTTATTTATTTATTTATTTATTTATTTTTTCAGCTATTGCATTTTTTATTGGTTGATGCCATTTTTGTTTCCACTGAATCTGGCTGCTTCCTTTTGTTTGCAGACAGTTATTGTTTTATGGGTATGACAGACTAATAAATCTTTCTGAGAATACTGATTACATATATTTTAAATTCTTCATCTGTTTCCACTTTAAAACTTATTCTTCAAGTATCAATTGTTTGTTTTTTTGCATTTGACATTTCCCTGTCAGGGTATTGGTTTTCCTTAAAAATCTAGTCATTTCTGATGTCTATTTGATGCCATTATAAATAACGTGGTTATTAATAAGAGAAAGGAGCAAAGGAAAGGCCAAATAGTATAGTCACTTATGCAGTTTTCCCAGGAAACTGCAGTTGAATACTCCCCATAAAGCCACCAGTCTGTCCCCCACGGGGTGGAGGGGGTAGGGGGAGGAGGTGACCAGGCCAGGGGGCGGGGGAGGGGGCACTGGACAGGGGAAGAATAGGCGCATGCCCAGCAAAGTATAGGTGGCCTAGAGAAGGTACTTGTCTATGGGTCATGCCCAGGAGCAGCTCGTTGGCCAGAATAGCATGGCCACTGCAAGCATGGGAATATTTGAGATATTTTAACTCCTAAACAAAGGAGTTTGCTCTTTCTTCCTCTTTTTTAAAAAAAATATATTTTATTGATTTTTATACAGAGAGGAAGGGAGAGAGATAGAGAGCTAGAAACATCGATGAGAGAGAGTCATCGATCAGCTGCCTCTTGCACACCCCCTACTGGGGATATGCCCGCAACCAAGGTACATGCCCTTGACCGAAATCGAACCCGGGACCCTTCAGTCCCTAAACAGATGCTCTATCCATTGAGCCAAACCGGTTTCGGCTGCTCTTTCTTCCTCTTGCCTCTTGCCTCACACTCCTGCATTCACCCACAATTCCCACCGCCATGTGGGCCCCACACAATGGATCGATGGGCTAACTGGCCTAATGCCCTGCTGGACCCAGCTCTACTCTGGACGTGGGCTTTGCTTTCAGCTCTGCTGAAGCCCCAGCTGCACCTCTTACAGGCCTGGGTTAAGGGAAATGGGACTTTGGGAATCAAGGGATGCAATTCTACACAAATAAAAATCCCTCATCCTCCAGTGTGAGTCTCATAAAATTCTTTTTTCTTGAGATAGCGGAAGGATCCCACTTCAGATTAATCTTTGAGGCTATCTGTTTGCCTATCATTCTGATTACAATGTCCTCTTTCTGGTTATTATGGAGGAGGGGCAGGATGTGTGGCTGAACAAGATGTGTCTAAAGTTTATAAAGGGTGCTTCTTTTTTATTTTTGAAAAGAGGTTTTAATTTTATTTTTCAATTACGGTCCATAATTAGGATTACTTTGCATTAGTCTCAGGTGTGCAGCATAGCGATTAGATCATCATGTACTTTACAGAGTGTTCCCTCATTATTTCCAGTACCCACCTGGCAACCATGCATAGTTATTACAAAACTAGAGGCCCAGTGCATGAATTTGTGATGGTGGAGTCCCTTGGCTGGGCTGGCGATCAGGGCCTATAGGGCCCGGGGGTGGCCAGTGGGTGGGGGGGAGAGTAGGTAGGCCTGTTGGGAGGAGTGACGTGGGAGGTTGGCAGCCGCCACCCCCGCAATTGGGGTTGATTGGGGAGAGGTTTGGTCAGGAGGAGGGGCTGTGGAGGTTGGCTGTGGGAGCACACTGACCACAAGGGGGCAGTTCCTGCATTGAGCATCTGCCCCCTGGTCAGTGCATGTCATAGCAATTGGTTGACCAGTCATTCCAGTCATTCAGTCATAACAGTTGTAAAGGTCGCTTGGGCTTTTATATATATGAATTATTGCCTATATTCCCTATGTTGTACTTTACATCCTGTGACTATTTCATAACTACTAATTTGTACTTCTTAATCCCTTCACCTTTTCACCCAACTCCCACCCCTCTGGCAACCATC